AGAAATATTGAACAATCCAAGTCAACTTATTACAACTTCAAAATAAATCAATAAAAACTTGAAAAAAATATCATAGTATAAGTAATTTAAATAATAAAAATGAAGAATAGTGTCCAAAAAAAAAGTCTATATAAATTTGATTAAAGTTGATTAGTCAAACAAGATTGCAGATGGATTATTGCTGGAATATAGATACTTCTATGCGCTCACCTTTCATTAAGCCCACTGCTGGGCTAACACAGCTTTTATGGTGTTTATCCTTGATGGATATCTTTAGAGACTCCCTTGGATACTCCTGATGATTGATAATGGATGATTGTGGGTCTGTGGGTTAGCTTTTTTCTCATGGCAATAAAAAGTGCTCCATCTCCTTGTATTATTCCTCGTTAGTATAGTGGGAAAGAAAAAGGTACATGGTGTCTTATCGTTTTTTAAAAGAACAATTTTATTCACAACTTCTTATGCACTCACAATTCAGTATAAAAAGCGATGAGATAAAATCAGTAAAACTGCTAAATGCGTTTGTGACAGGTCTCCTGTGTGGCTGCTCACACTCGCTCACATAGACTATACAGATGATGGTTTACAGATGACACGTGCTTTGGATCATGAGCTGTTCCAAGCCTTCTCCACACTTTTTTCTTCCCGTCATTCTGGTACAGATTAATCTTAGTTTCATCAGTCCAAAGAATGCTTTTCCAGAACTTGTCTGGCTTTTTTAGATATTTTTTGGCAAAGTGTAATCTGGCTTCTCTATTCTTCAGGCTTCTGAATGGTTTGCACCTTGTGGTGAACCCTCTGTATTTGCTCTTGTGAAGTCTTCTCTTGATTGTAGACTTTGACAATGATACGACCACCTCTTGGAGAGTATCTTTCACTTGGGTGTTGTAAATGGGTTTTTCTTTACCATAGAGAGAATCCTACGATCATCCACCACTGTTGTCTTCTGTGGACGTCCATGCTTTTTTATGTTGCTGAGCTCATCAGTGCGTTCTTCTTTCCTCATAACCAAACTATTGATTTGGCCACTCCTAATGTTGCTGCTATCTCTCTGATGGATTTGTTTCATTTATGAAGCCTTCATTTATGGCCTGTTTCTCTTCCATGGACAGCTCCTTTGAACACATGATGTAGGTTCACAGCAATAGATTCCAAATGCAAATACCACACTTAGAATCAACTCCAGACATTTTACCTGCTTAAGTGATGAAGAAATAGTGAAGGAGTAGCCCACACCTGGCCATGAAACAGCTTTTGATTCAATAGTTCAATTAACTTTTGGTCCCTTGAAAAAGGGGGGATGGCTAATCTTAAGAACTGTAATTCCTAAACCCTTCATCCAATTTAGATGTACATTCCCTCAAATTAAACCTGAGAGTGTGCACTTTCAGCCAATATGCATTATATAACTATAGCTTGAATATGTTTTGGTAAATACCTGAAAAAACTAAATTGTGCCTGTGTCCAAATATATATGGTCCTAACTGTATATAAATGTATTTTTCTGAATGCAGGAAAATGAAAGTTTGCCCACTTTGTTGCAGCCTGTCAGATGTAGCTTTGCTTTTACCCAATATTACACGTTCCCATTATTCTAGACTTTTATAATTTAAGCATTGAGCACACCAATATATTTTTTGACTTTCTATGGCTAATTATTTACGTCTGTTCTTCCATGACACATCTTATTGTGCAGAATCTAGGACAGTCTTTTATTCCTGAAACATTAAACTGAGATACAGTCATCATCTTAATAGCACAGATTATAACACACTACGTGTTGAAAATACATGTAAAACTACTTGCCAAAACTTATCCATTTTTAACTCATATTAGAAAATAGGATTTACAATCTAAACAATGAAAAATTTTTAAAAAGTAAGTTTTATTGTAGAGAATGATATGAAGAATGGATCACTGTATATAGGTGTCCATTTTATGAAACTGAGGTTCGCTGCTGATTTCAGTACATTAGTGGTTTATGAAACAGAGAAGATCAGAGGAGAACATGTTCTCTGCTGATCTTCTCTGCGCACAGAGAATGTGCAATTGACATACACAGAAATGGCTAGTTTATGAAGGAGCGATGTCAGCCCATTACTGGCGTTCTGTGTGACAATTCTCCCCTCCAGATTCTCCAGACCAAAGGTGGAGAATCGCTGGAGTTCTGAGGAGGAAGGACATTTTTGGACTTTCTTCTTCTTCCTTCAGAGCCTCCCAAGACAGTGGGAAAGCCCCTCTGCCTTTCACAGCACCCCCAAAATCCTTGAGCAGTTTAGAAGTGTATGTATGTATGTGTATATATATATATATATATATATATATATATATATATATATGTGTGTGTGTGTGTGTGTGTGTGTGTGTGTGTGTGTGTGTGTGTGTGTGTGTGTGTATTACTTTGTGTGTGTGTGTATGTGTGTGTTTGTTATATATATATATATATATGTGTGTGTGTGTGTGTGTGTGTGTATGTATGTGTGTATATATATATATATATGTATATATGTATGTATGTATGTATATGTGTGTGTGTGTATATATATATATATATATATATGTGTATGTGTGTGTATTACTTTGTGTGTGTGCATGTGTGTTTGTTTTTTTTTTTTCATTTTTGTGTATGTGTACTGAGGAGAGTCGCCATAATAAGTTAATTTGCCACTGCTTAACAAACTGACAGCTGTGTGTTTTACTGATCTCTTGTTACTGTAATTTCACTATATCTCACGAGATTACAGCAACAACAGCCATTTTCCAGAGTTCAAAGTGTTTGTAGATCACTTCTTTTCTCATTAGGAGAAGCGATCTACACCACTTCACAAACAGGCACTCAGAGGAGAACTGTCTCCTCTGAGAATGCCACAGAACATAGCAGCAGTCATTTACCACTGCTTGATAAAGGTAAACCATAGTAAGTATAATTTAGGTGAAATTGTTTTATTTGTTTACCGTATGTGTGTAAAGTGGTAAACCTCAGACCTGAAAAATAAACAAAGCATTTCCCTTGATAGTATGTACTTGTTTCAATCCAGAGTACTAAGTGTCATTTTTGTCTGCAGCTTCCTTCCTCTGCTGTCAGCATGAGTCACTTCTGACAAGTTTTCCTGACACCAAGAGAAAATTGGTGCCAGGGGAGGGACCTCTAGCAGAGTGGCAGCCTCACCTCTGTTCCTGTGTACTGTGTGAAGGGGTGTGTGTCTCTTCCCTGCAATCCGCTCTCAGAGCTCTCCTCACTGAGCTCTGCAGAGTGTAACTTCAGCTCTCCACCCCCTTTTTTCTGAACTCTCAGAGAAGCTTTAAAAATTCTGGACTTTGAACAGATGTAGAGCAGAGAGGACTGCAGATAGGCAGACACAACTTATGTAGGAGGATTTGTTTCATTTCTTTGTATCACCTGAGGCCAGTCACTTCACTGGGAATATGTGAGGGTTTACAACCACTTTAAAACATTACAATTAGAACTAAGGCATTGTTTTCATGAATAGGTAAAAATAGGTAATTGAGCCGTGGTTAACATGGTTAGCAGCATTGTCATGTTTTGGAAACTTTTATACCATAGGTTGTATTGGCAGGCAGTACCACAGCCATATGCAACTAATTCAAGTTGATAGGGCTGGGCTGCAACTGCTCTGTACAGTTTATACTTTAGAAAATCAGTACAGGTTCAGTTTGCTTCCCCTCCCTATACTTCACACCTTATGTCAAGCTCAAAGGGTGAAAATTAGACCTTTTAGTTATTCAGTAATGCCTATATAACCTTAACGTGTATCTAAAGGGAAAGGGTTTTGGATAATACAACCATCAGTCCCCCCCCCTCATGCCAGGGTACTAGGTGTAATCCTAGACTCCCATCTGTCCTTTCAGCCCCAAATCCAATCACTGTTCAAATCTTGTAGACTTCACCTCCGCAACATCTCCAAGATACAGCTGTTCTTAACCTCAGAAACTACTAAGCAACTTATTCACTCCCTTGTTATATCTGACTTGACTATTGTAACTCCCTCCTCAATGGCCTATCTTATCGCAGGCTATCCCCTCTTCAGTCTATCATGAATGCTGCTGCCAGACTCATCCACATTACTAACCGTTCCATATCTGCCACCCCTCTCTGCCAATCCCTCCACTGGCTTCCCATTGCCCAACGGATACAATCCAAAACATTAACAATAACATATAAAGCCATGTATAACTCTGCCCCAAATTACATCACCGATCTTGTCTCCAAATACCACCCAAACCATACTACTCTCCGCTCCTTGCACGACCTCCTGCTCTCTAGCTCCCTTGTCTCCTCCTCCCATGCTCATCTCCAGGACTTCTCCAGAGCCTCCCCCATCCTCTGGAACTCTCTATCCCAATTTATCAGACTATTGTCTACTCTTCTCACTTTAACCACTTGCCTACCAGGCACTTATACCCCCTTATTTACCAGGCCAATTTTCAGCTTTCAGCGCTGCCGCACTTTGATTGACAATTGCGCGGTCATGCAACATTGTACCCATATGACATTTTGATCATTTTTTTCTCACAAATAGAGCTTTCTTTTGGTGGTATTTAATCGCCACTGGGTGCTTTACTTTTTGCACTATAAATAAAAAAAGTGCAAAAAATTTGAAAAAAAAAAAAAAGTTTCTATTATAAAATTTTTCAAACAGGTATTTTTTCTCCTTCACTGATGTGCGTTGATGAGGCAGCACTGATGGGCACTGATAGGCAGCACTAAAGGGCACTGATAGGCAGTACTAATGAGGTGGCACGGATAGGCGGCACTGATAGACAGCACTAATGAGGTGCCATGGATAGGCGGCACTAATATGCAGCACTGATAGGCGGCACTGATAGGTGACACTGATGATGGGTACTGATAGACGGCACTGACTGGCATCACTGCTGGGCACTGACTGGCGGCACTGACTGGCACAACCGCTGGGCACTGACTGGTGGCACTGACTGGCAGCACTGCTGGGCTGTACTGGTGGGGCGGCACTGGTGGGTGGGCACAGGTGGGTGGGCACTGGTGGGCGGGCACAGGTGGGTGGCACTTCTGGGCACAGGTGGGTGCACTTCTGGGCACAGGTAGGTTGCACTTCTGGGCACAGGTAGGTGGCACTGCAGAGTGGCACAGGTGGGTGCACTGCTGGGCACAGGTGGGTGCACTGCTGGGCACAGGTGGGCGGAGCTAGTGGGCGCACTGCTGGGCACAGGTGGGTGGAACTTGCGGGTGGCACTGCTGGGCACCGATCATCAGGGCACTGATCATCAGTACCCTGATGATCGGTGCCGATCCCCGCTCTGACAACTGCCGGTTCTCGGCAGTACTTTCCTCACGATCTGACAGCGTGAGGAAAGTGCAGCCGAGAACCGGCACTTGCATTTCCCTCTGATCAGCGTGTCATTGGACACCGCTGATCACGTGGTAAAAGGCCGCTGTGATTGGCCTTTTACCACATCACGTGATCAGCTGTGTCCGTAGGACACAGCGATCACGGAGATTGCCGGGGGCGCGCAGGAGAGCGTGTTCTGGGAGGACGTCATATGACGTCCACTCAGAACTGGCCGGCCGCAGTGCAGCCGTCATTCGGCTATCTGCGGTTGGCAACTAGTTAAGGTAATATCTGAAAACCTATCTCTTCAGCTAAGCCTATCCTGCCCTCAGCTAATAATGGAATCTTCTGTTCCTCCTACCAGTCCATCCCCCACAGTTATTACCTTTTGTACCACTAGCCCCTCCCTCTTAGATTGTAAGCTCCAAGGGTCAGGCCCTCCTAACCCTCTTGTATTGAACTGTATTGTTGCTGTATTGTCTCCCGTTATATTGTAAAGCGCTGAGCAAACTGTTGGTGCTGTATAAATCCTGTATAATAATATAACAATAAGAGTGGGGGGGGGGGGATAGAACCACTAACAGAATTTCAATGATGTCGGTGAAACCTACTGGGGAGATTAAACCTTTTGATTTGTCCTGGCAACAGTGAGGGATGGCGAGGGCAAAATTTTAACCAGAACAGGGATAGAAAACTTATGACGGGCAAACATATTCTACTAATAACTGTCTGAAACAGGATTCCCCCTCACTACGAGAGATTTCCTATCACTTTGTGTTATCCGCAGAACAAGAAGTAAAGGTAGTTTCACCCACTAGGGCATAGATGGCAAAAGACACCTGACGGAGGTTTTAATCATTCCCTTTTCTATCCAGCATAAAAAAGGCTTGGATTTAGATATACTATAGAGTGATTCTAAAGTCAAAATTTTTATTTGATTACCACTTGCCCTCCTGAGGATTTACCCCCCTTCCTGACCAGGCCATTTTTTGCGATACAGCACCGCGCTACTTCAATTGACAATTGCGCAGTCATGCAATGCTGCACCCAAATGAAATTATTTATGCCTTTTTTTTCCCACAAATAGAGCTTTATTTTGGAGGTATTTGATCGCCTGTGAATTTTTTTTCTTTTTTGCTCAATACACAAGAAAAACCCAACAATTTTGAAAAAAAAAAACAAACATGTTATACTTACCTGCTCTGTGTAATGGTTTTGCATAGAGCATCCCCAATCCTTTTCTCAGGTACCCCTTCAGTGCTCCTGGATCCTCCCCCCTGAAGAGTGCTCCCATAGCAAGCCACAGGCTATGGGGGCACTTGCGCCGACTCGCTCCCGAGCCCTGCTCTGTGTGGGCATTGACACACAGAGTGTGCCTCAGCATCGCCCCCCCCACTGATTGACAGCAGCAGGAGTCATTGGCTCTCTGAGCCAATGAGGAGGGAGAAAGCCGAGAGAGCCACTATTCTTGTGCACTACCACTAGATAGATATTGGGATCAAGTAAGTATTTACTGGAGCTTGGAGAGAAGCTGCATGCAGTTTTTTTTTTACCTTAATGCATACAAAGCATTAGGGTAAAAAACCTCCTGCTTTTAAAACCACTTTAAATTTATCAGTGATATTTCACAGGAACATGGATCCTCTAAGTAACTTGAATTACAATAGACTAAATTTATGTTTGCTTGTTAAAGTTTCTATACAGCATATTTCCAGTACTTTACAAAATAGTCTCAAACCTTATACCAATAAACAAAAGGAACAGCATACCAACAAACCTGCAAACCTCACGCATAAATATTCAACTAATTTATTACAGTAAAAGTAAAGGTTAAAATAACTGGAGAGCCTGTTACATGGACTACAGACCTAACACCTGCCGAGCCGGAAATTACCCAAAAGACTAGAAGCCCAGGTCCAGAGCTGTTAAACCACCTCCCTCCCTCCTGTCCACATCAGATATAGCACACAACCAAAGTTAAAAATAACACAAATGTGGTACAAGTAAGCATAAAAGAATTAGAGCATGACATGTTTGATCTAGAAAGAATAAATACATTTTGTTTCTCCAAAAATAAATGTGCTGTAAGCTGATTATTGCGATTTCTTTTGCTGTTCAATAGTAATAATACAAACCTAACATTGTGTTATTAAAGCCAAGTTAGTAAAATACTAAACACAAGAACATAACACTTCATTACAAGAATTTACTAAAGCTGAGACTAAGCTTACCACATATTGTTGGAGCTTCGAAATACTTAAAGAAAATCAATGTCATACCGTTGCAAGGGAAAAAGAAGAATACATAATTGCTTAGGCAGTAAGATAGATTATACTTTATTTTTAGAATACAACCATATAAACTCTTGCTGGCTGATAATGACAAGTCAAATCCTCTCCAAGAGAACAAAGGAAACATGATTTACCTGTGGACTGCAATGCTTTTATCACAAACAGATAATATAATGATGTACCTTTTGCAAACAAATATAGTTGACATAAAATGTTTCTGATTGAAAATGAATAATAGATTTATCACATGATGTATCTAGAAGAAATCTGTCACATAAACTGAACGTTTTCCCCTACCTATGATATATGGTTTTGCCTTTTTAATTGCAATCTTTTTTTTCTTTAAGTAAACATTTTGTACTTTATAAGAAATATACAATAGTTTTGTATGCGTTTTTCTTTCTTTATTTACTATGGTAGGAAATAAAAAATACGTTTTTATTTCACTGCCTATTTTCTTTGAAATGTAATTCCACTTTTTTGAGAAACAAACAATCCCTTCTGAGAGATTTATGACAATTTCAAGGGTTTTAAACTTATTGCAGATTCCTAACTTTTCCAGCTCTGAAGAAGTAATGGCTTGTTTTATCATGTCCTTTGCAGAGTGAATCTGATGGGAGGGTCTGGTTCATTTTAATCACCTGTTGCATTCCCTGTGTTTTTGATAAGGAATACTGCAGCATCACCATACATTTAGAAGTATTGAACCCTTGTGGAGTATCTCACCAAAACTGAAATTCTTCTTGCAGGGAAAGCCTAAAATTTTAATTTGTGCAAAATTCTGGGGAAATCATTGACTTTTCTGGGGTTGCTCTGTACATTAATAATTTCCAGAATCATGTTTCCTTATTGTAGCATGTTTTCCTTATTGTATTTCATTTTCACTTAACTTATCTTGTTGAATGAGATGAAGTTGTGCTTACTTCAATTATTCGGTCACATTGAAGCAAAACCATTTAAAGGGAAATTTCCCAAATGTTCAACAGCTCCATGGGATGACTATTTGCTGTTAATATTGCTGGATTGTAGTTTATTTGTCATTTGAATGATATGATGTAATGTGTATATATTATACACTCATCAGCCACTTTATTAGGCACACCTTGCTAGTGCCGGGTTGGACCCCCTTTTTACCTTCAGAACTGCCTTAATTCTTCATGGTATAGATTCAATGGAAACATTGCTCAGAGATGTTGGTCCAGATTGACGTGCGTTACTGTTGCCTTTCTATCATCTCGAACCAGTCTGCCCAATCTCCTCTGACCTCAACAAGGCATTTTTCATCCATGCAACTGCCACTCATATATTTTTCTGTTTTTTTTGGACCATTCTCTGTAAACTCTAGAGATGGTTGTGCGTGAAAATCCCACTAGACAAGCAGTTTTTGAAATACTCAGATTAGCCCATCTGGCACCAACAACCATGCCATGTTCAAGGTTACTTAAATCCCCTTTCTTCCCCATTCTGATGCTTGATTTGAACTTTACCACGTCTAGATGTCCAAATGCATTGAGTTGCTGCCATGTGATTGACTGATTATCAGTTTGTGTTACCAAGCAATTGAACAGGTGTACCTAATAAAGTGGCAGGTGAATGTATTTCGCAATTATGGTGCTATTTGTCATCTACGATATTCTAAAAGGTTGACAACAAAGTGGATCCTGAAGAAGCTCTTTTTAAGTGAAACTCCTTGATCCACCTGTCTTCTCTCACAATTGAGTCATATGTAAATCGTAAGCAGATGATCTATGTTTTTATTGTATATTGATTTTAATGTGAAAATAAAATATGTAATTTTATGGTTGATTTTCTTTTTTGTTTGGGCACATTCAAAACCCCCACTTCTAATTGTCCCTTGTAGGCACATGGGGAACTTTCCATTTTCTTATTAATACTGTAGAGGATGGTGCCATGCTATTTTCACCACAAGGCCCCCCACCTACTTTGTAAAAGACTTAAAGTGACTCCGTTTCTAAAAAAAAACTAAAACAAAAATAAACTGTAAGTGCCAATGGACTGTACCATTGATTCATTATTTTAATTTTACATGTATATTTAATTTGTCACATGATATATAGCATTTTTTTAAAGCATAACAATCCTTAAATGTCATTATTAGAGATATAGATCCTGCTCCTCTGTGCAGCTACTTCCTCTTAGACGTGCAATCTAAGAGATAGCTGGTGTTCTGCCAGGGATCTCCTCACAGAAATTGGGCTTAACTGCTGGATACCCTCAGGCCCATTCATCAGATGCTCAGCTAATGAGGAGGGTAGGTGCCTGCCTGCGAACAAGGGACTAGGGCATAAGAGAAGTATGCATGTACTAGACAGTTTGGAAACAGCTGTTGAGGCTTCAGGTTGTGGGTGGCAGAGGAGGTGCAGCAGAGGCTTGATGTTTGGGGGTGCAGAGGAGGCTGAGTCTGTGAGTTAGCTAAGGCTGGTAGCAAAAGTCTGAAGAATTTGGGCAAGCCATAGATGATTCAACTTTATTTTTATGCACTTATTTTATGCCACTGGTTGGAGGAAAGAATCCTCTCCATCAACACAGTAAGTGTTGATGGGAAAAAATTCCCCCCGCAGCAATATTTTGTTCTGCCGGCAGGGAGACTTCCCTGCCTCCAGAACATACTGATTACTCGCTAGTGTCTATAGCAGCTGGCAGTAATTGCATGCAATAAATCAGACAGGCTGATTGTACTAAAGTTGATCAATGGATTGATTTCAGTACAACCTGCCTGCCCTATAACATGGATCAAT